TAAAGTAGAATATCTTTTAGGCTGCGTTATCAGCAATCTGTCACATACTTTCTCCCATAAGCTTGTCAACAACACTTATCATAGGTAAGCGGTAGGGCGTTTGGAACAATCACAAAATTTGCAATTAACCTTTTGTAATTTAAACCGTAATTATTACAGCAATCGGTTAAGCCTAACCATTTTGTTAAGAATTAAAAATACTATTACGTAGGTACAAAATTTTAATCAAAACCGGTTTAGTCGTATTAAAAAAAATCCATTTCCATTATTACTTCTATTGTTGAAAGTATTGGCATTTGATAGGAAAATCACAAAATTCGCAATAACTTTTGAACCCTAATTTTTACAACAGCGTTGTATCATTTTGATTATAGCAAAAATGACTACCTATAACATACATTTTAAACCGTTCGGGCTTTTTCTAGAAAACACGATTTCTTCATTATTTAATGGGACACGCTAAATTAAAAATCAACAGGTACTATTTCAACGAAATCAAAAATATCAGAAAATAGGGGCTAAGTCACCAAATTTCATAAAAATCCCAACCACAGGTGTGGTCTGTCTTTTTGCGGTCCCGTAAAAAAAATTAGCTTAATAGGCTACCATTAACTACTTTAGGTCTGTCATTCATTTGCAGTGGGTCTGAGTAAATCCTTTGTCTTGGCGACCAAAAACAAGTTGCACCATCGGTACAGATGTTCAATACAGTAGGTAGTGTTTAAAGCAAGAAATTTTCATTCAACCACCGAATAAAGGAGTAGACACTCCTCCTTTAACTCATGGTATACCGTAACCATTTTACCAAATGATTTTTTACCATGTTCGAAGTGTAGGCTAAAATCACGACACAACTAATTCAGGCAACATGGGACATTTTCACTATCCAAAGTGACCTTTTTCAACTTCTTCATGAAATCCAAACATTCTACCTCTTCTAGCGACAGTTTCAGTCTACAGTCATTCACGCCTGTCCCGCCATGTTGCAACATAGCAACAGCACAGCCTAGTTGCTGCGTCGCACAGCGGACGTGGCAGTGGCCTGCTTTCACGCGCTTGGGAAAAGAAAGTCGCTGTCCACGGTTGCAACACCGCGCTTTCATGGAACACCTACAGTGTTTACAACAAAGTTGACAACTATAAATGTTGCTTACTTGAGAAACTAGTGGAAGACTCTAATTTAGAGCAAAACTAGGCATATCCCTAGTTTTTTTTTTTTTTTTTTTTTTTTTGTCCTAGGACGCTAGGCACTAGCCTGGGATTACAGTAGGTAGTGGAAAACTTGTTGCCAAAGAATTAGCGCGAAAAAGTCAGCAGTCAGTAGTGTCAAGGATGTAGGAACCCTTTCTGAAAATGACCAGTAGTGATTTTAAGACTTAGATTTAATGATCGGACACAAACCACAAACACAAACTACAGGAAAGCAATACCTACATATTCAAGAAAAGTTAGCAGTTACACTTTTTTATTATTTATTGCTACTGATAAATCGGTAAGCCCGGTTGGGGGTAGTTCTCCACTAGTTTTCTACATGTTGCTAGTACAATGAACGTAGCAACTAGTCTTCCACTTTTTGTAGTCAACTTTCTTTGGTCTTTACCGACACTCCACGGGAAACCAAAATTTAGTGGAAAACTTGTCTCTACTAGTAGACGACAGAAAAAGTCGCTGTATTTTGTAGAAAAAGCAACCAATTGCCGCAACTATTGAGATTGCATCCCAAAGTCAGGTGACAAACATAAGCAAGAACTGATATTGTGATACAGCATGGCACGTATGACTCTTCCTTCCACCATGGTATGACTCGTGGTTGTCACGTCATACAATCAACTTCTGGTATGCCTACCAACTATAGATGGTACAGGAAAAGTGTAAAAATGTCAAAAACTGAACCCCGGTAATGGTTAAAAAGTTTAACTGAATGTAACTTAATACATCCGAGTTAATTGCACGTAGGGGAAAATGATTTTGATATACAATACCAATCTTCAAGACAATGCAACTTTTTGTCCCCAATACAATTGCTTAGGATTGATAATTGATACTATCTAGCCTACTTTTATTAGGCATAATTATTACAGGTTAAACTGATAAATAAGATCCTTATTATAATAAAACAATTAGGTAGAAGAGACAATCCATACCTCTACTGGGTACTTTCCTGGTGTGGGTAGTCAATATCAAACGGAATTTTGTATTGTACATCAAGTTTGGTTGGTTTTAGAACAGTTTGATTTCAATATAATTGTTTTTATGTTTTTGTTGATACTGAACAATATTTATTCATCGTAGGTCAGCTGATATGTTTCAATTCGTCAATATCGATACATCGGATCAAAAAATAAAATATAAATATATCGAAAAAAATCATCGACAATGATGAGTTATAAGGATCGTCTCTTCTACCTAATTATTTCTATGTTATCAAACGTAATTTTGAATCCATAGGAAGTTCTCAATTCGTAATTTAAACGCATTTGAATACATTGAAACAGAAGGAATATAGAATGCAAAGGAAAACAAAACTATCGATATATCGAAAAGAAATCATCGATAGTAATGAATGTTACCTTTAACAGGAAAGTACCCTTTACCTTTTTGTCTATGCCTTTACTGTGTTGTTGCAGGACCAAATCATCACTGTTTTTGCACCCAAATCCATTAAATACCGGTATTCGTAATTGTTAATCTGTTAGCATTGTCAAATATTTTTTTTTTTATTGGCGGAGAACTCAGTTTTACATATGCACCGGTACACTCACAAATATTGAAAAAGAGCGAATGGAAAGTGAACATACTGCAGTTATAATTTTCACACTTGACACACAAGTTATTTCGTATAAAGATTACTACCGAGAGTAAACAACTTAACGGATGCCTACCAATCTACCTAGGCCTATATCGTACAAAAAAATCAACAACCTAAAATTAACACAATTTGTTGTCAATTAGGTAAGGTAACCTGAACTGGAACCAGGTTTTAGCATAGTTCAACTTTGACCTTACATTGATCATGCTATAGGTACTATTTATTGTGAAATTTTTGTACCATACACTACAACTAACTAGGCCTAATTAGATCTTAAAAGACAATAACTTTAAACAAATCTAAGAAATGTAATAAATTTGAAGTGATATTCTGAATCTACGTGCAAACAATACTGCCTGATTGTGGCTTTGAAACAAAGTTAATTACAGTATGGAATCAATGATCAAATATTGCCTTCAACTTGACAAAAAATATATTAGAGTCACATACCCCAAACTCGGCATTCCTGATATATAGGTAACTGAGGGTAACAAACTGTTCACATAGCCTATATCTTTTGTAAAGCCAAAGAATAATTAGAATCCGTTAAGCTATGGTTCCACAGGATGCGGAATCTCCGCCATGCGGTGCGTAATTTTTCGCAGCGGAAAATTACGCAGCGAAAAATCAGAAGGGTGGTTCTACAGACTGCGAAAATAACGTTGCGGAGATTCAGTTCTGTCCAAACTAGCGACGAGTATGGATAGAAAGAGGAAAGCCCTTTTGGCTTTGATGCTATATGATGACATTAATGATGATGTTGTCGATCTTTTATCTTTGTTAGTGTCTAGTCGCAGTGACCGAAGTGACATATTTAAGAATCGGGACAGTGAAGGGGCGTATAACATTCTGGTTCGTAATAATTTAGTTGACAACGAAACTAAGTTTAAGCGGTACTTCCGTGTGTCAAAAGACCAATTTTTCTTTATGGTTGATCTCATCAAAGATTACTTAAGTTACCCACCAACACTACTAATCGAGACAAACAACCATTGATTGCCGAGATGAAACTAGCGGTAACACTAAGGTATGTACCAATATTTAGTATTTTTGCTATTTATTTAACGAAACTTAAGGGGTTTCAACCACGATCAGATCCCGTTCAACACTTGATACCCAAACATCTGCACGATCACAATATTTGATGGCTCTTCTCCGCTGGCGGAATCCGCACTGCTACTGCTCTCAGACCAGTATGATTTCTCCGCCATGCGGAACGGAAATTTCGGGATGCGGAATCGCAAGTCAGTGGAACCGCACACATGGGAACTCCATTAAACCAGTGTCGTTTTAATTCCGCAGCGGAAAAAATCGCACCGCACGGCGGAGATTCCGCATCCTGTGGAACCAGGCCTTTACACATTGCAGATACATTTCAGTGCATCAAAACCCCCCACATTAGGGAGGTTAAAATGGGCTAGGACTACTATCGTTAGGCTACGTGTTAAGATGTCTAAACAGTAGCCTATGTTATTATGGAGTATTAGTGCCTCAAATGGATTGAAGTATAATTGGCATTTAGTAGGCTAACTTATAGCCTACCCTTTTAAAAGTTACCTTCAACTTAAAAGAATCTAACGGTATTTGAGTCACGACTTTCATGTCATTCTCAATACTTCACTGCAGTACCTAACATATCCCCTAGGCATATATTAACTTAGTGACGGATTAATGAGATTTCTTATGAACTTTTACAAAAAACTTACAAGACCCAATTCCTCAACAAGGATTGATGCATCTGTCGTAGTTTAGGTAACTAGGCTATAGTAGAAAATAGAAAGAGCCTAGAATACATTTTATGAATAATGGGGTTGAAGTTTCCAGTTGGAAAATATGGTAAAATAAATTAGTTACCGTAAGCAGCAGTGGAAGGTTAAGCAAATGATAATGTCATACAATGCAGTTACGATTAAAAATGGAGCTGGAAATCCGATCTCTTGATAAGTTAATAACTTATTAAGTAATAAGGACATCGGAAAAAGCAAAAGTTCATCTAAAATTGGTACAGTTACAAAATACTAGGCAAGTTAGCTCTTGTTTAAGATGATTTACGTCCCAGAAAATGGATTTAACTAAAAAGTTACCTAATAAATTTAAGCTACCGGTACCCAAAGCATTTCTATTTAAAAATAAAAGGTTAAGTTAAACTTATGGTAGCCTACGTTATTAGTAAATTATACAGTAATCTTACCTTTTAAATGTTATCCAGGAACAATAGGTATCCAATAAGGTAAAAATATCTTACACAATACAAACTAGCACCACTTAGTACACACAGAAAGCCCGAACTAACACTTAAAGCTTGACAAAAACACTGATAGTCACTTACAAAGTTCGCTGTTAGAAAGCAACAGCGAAGTAAATTTACTTCTCGTTACGCTCAATCGCTTGTTGTTCACACTCACGACATCCGGATCGCAGAGCAAACCACAAAGGAAATCATACACCCAATCGTTTTTCCTAATTCGAGCACAAACCACGTAAAACTAGACGATTCACCAACTTTCCTAGTGAACGGGGTTTCCACTGACCACTACCGAAATCACAGCCGTGACCTAAAACGTAGGACGGTGTTCCACTTACAAAACTTCTGCACTGGGCGAAAGCACGTGAAAACTTCACGAAACTACAACACTCGAACGCGCTTTTCCGAGGAAAACAAGTTAACTGTGGAATATAAAAAAGAGTCGTCGAAAACCGAGCAAATGTCCGCAGAGATTTAGTTTGCAACTCACAAAGGAACGGACACACAATCTGGAAGGCTGCCACACTCGGAATGGAATGAAATTGAAGAGGCAGGGAGGGGGGAGGACCCGAAGACGACACGGACCCGCCCGAACGTGCCCGAGAGCTAATGACAGCTTTTAACATTTCTATACTCTTTGGTTTGGCTTTAAACATGATTCATGACACCGTCCATGTAGTTAGAGTTGTTTTGTTTGGTAAACTATAGTTTAGCCTGGCTGCATTCGTTTCCCGATTTTGAATTATTAGTAAATGGCATTCTTGTGTTCTATAATAGAACAAAAGAATGCAAATTAATTAATGTGTTATGAAAATGTTAAAAATGTATCATACATGAGCCCAAGTGACTTCGTAATTTAAGTTGTTTAATAACTTATCTGTAACATATAAGTATGTAAACAAACAAACTATAAATAAAACATATGCGACAGCACGTGCATCTTCAATATATGCAGCACTTATATTATTCAGGTTCCTGTCCTTGGGAGAGGTATCTTCTATATATTAATAGGCAAGCATGTTTCTTTAAAACCTTTTTTCTCAGCTCGTGTGCATCGCAGGGAACATCTACGCATACTGTTGGAAAGATATTTTACTGTAGATGTGCAGAATGCCTTTAAAAATTAAAATAGGCTAACAAATAAGCACAAAAAATGAATTTGAAAACTTCAAAAATTTAACATGGACCATATGGGTTGCCATGATGGTGACGAAATAACAACAAAATGTAAACAGAAAATCAAAACAAAGGGAAGAAATTCCAATCACATGTTTTATTTACAGTGTGGGGAGAAAATAGAGAAGTCTGTACATAATATTTTTTGGTCGAGTTTCGACCACAGGACGACCACTAGTTATCATAAAACTGATATTTTACAGGGAATTTTCACATCAAGACCTTTCATTCAAGTACAGTGTGCGGCTCGTCGTTAGATAGAGAAGATAATGATGCCAGGGCGAAATACAGTACGTTTTTCCAATGGTATGTTTGGGAATAATGTAGTGAAAAAGTATATCGTTATAATGTGTATATTATTGTTGTGTATAATGTATGTTATAATATGCAACTATACCAAATGAATCTATCATTTCTTCAGTGATTTCAGTGAACTTTCATTGTTTCACAGCCACTGACGTAGACTAGAGGGGATTCGTTCCATCTCAACTCTACTTTCACCATTCTGTGGGATGGAGTGATTTTCCTCATTTCGTCCGACCAGCTGAACAGTTTGAGACAGCTTTGAATTTGAAACAGCTGTATACAGTTTGAGTATTAAGGGGTGAGGGTACTTTTCAAAGGATGAGTGCACCAGTGAATGACCACCCCTAATGAATGGTCGTTTCGTATAAAAAAAACCAACACATTAAGCTTTTTGTTTTCCTAGTCTTACCACTAACGGTCTTATAAGTGAATTTGTAGCCTAATTTGAATATACCTTACCCACTGGTTCAAAAAGAAAGTGTCAACCACCCTTTGGTAACACAAACAAAATTATTCCAACCTTTTCATGTACAAGCTTCCTACAAGAGTCTCGTACAAACAAGGTTGGTTGTGTTTGTCATGGTTCTTTGATTATTGATGGGGAATCTTATAAATTATGTGAAATTCTCAGTAAACAAGTTTATTAAGCACATTATTATTAGGACACCGGTAATTCACTGGTGCACTCATCCTTTAGAAGATTACTAGAAGTACCAAAGTTGATTAAATCTCCTACTCAACTGAGCTTGCTCTACGAATTATACAGCAATAGGTTAAAATCGTATAACTGTGCTGATCTGTCTCTACCAATGAATTAGTTACTATTTTAAAATATAAATTTAAATGCTGATTTGGACATTAAAGATATAGTAGAGATAATTTTACTGGTAAAACACGACAATGACTCAAATTATTTTGCAAATAAACAACATTTAAAAACCCCCAAAAAATACCGTGAAAATTTAATAGAATAATTTTTAATGTGTTTTCCCGGTCCTTTTATAAAAAAGTTGATAATTGAATGCTCATGAAAATTACAACAGCTTTCCAAATTTACAGTAATCGTTACGTTAGCGTTGCAAATGAATCGTGAAACAATAAATAGTTACCCAATTGTTTAAATCTCACACACGAATAAGATAATGGACAAAACTGGTAAACACGTGATAGATTATTTACCTAGTTCATTCGTAACTTAGTTCACTTTGCATACTTGACTTGAAGTCAATATGCGGACAACTTCAACAGAGAATATTCTCCGATCCATTTAATAAAAGATATTTACAAAGTTTTTCTCATATGAATTCACTTTTTCATTAAAAAAAATGTTTTAAAGTTGCAGCATAGATTGTTGTCAATTTTGGAGTAAAATGAAAAAGTTAAATTAAACGAACATCAGAGTGAGCTGGCGTGAATTACTGAAGTATGTAGAATGCTGCAATGCTGAATTGAAAATACAATATAATGTTAGTTACCCTTGTTTTATTAATCGTGAACCTTATTTTTGAGTTATGTTTATTTTTAGCGAATTACCCATATAGGGAATAAGCTACAGCATTACCGTAGATCTTAGGGTAAGACCTGGGCCCGGGACCGATTTAATTTTTTGTTTTGAGATCCCCAGATAGGTTAACACGATAACCAGAGCAAAAATTATCATATTTTGATTAAATCTCTATACCACTGACTGACAGATATAACAAAAAATAGGTACGACGTATATTTATCAAATTTGGCATATGGGGTCCCTGTATGGTGTAAGGTGTGGATGTGCAATAAGACGGCATTTTACAAAATCCGAAAGGGGGGTATAGGGGAGAAAAGCTATTTTCGGTTGAATTTGACTGTATAAACCTTTATATTTTGGACTGTATAAGCTGAAAAAATGCTTGGATCTTAAAATTTTGATGGAAATTATTTGGTGTGAAATAAAATGACCTACGATTTTTGTATTTAAAGTTATTTTCTTTTCAAACGGTTTTTGAGTAAAAAAGTAAAAACTTTGAAAATGGACAATTTCCTAATGTTTGCGCCCCAAAACAAGGCATTTCCCACTTAACCACAATTACAACACTTTCTGTTTGCTGTTTGCACGCCCCCTAGTCTGTCTCAAAATCAGTATTTATTTTCAAAAATGTTATAAACATTCCGTACAAGTGCACGCACTTGATTACGTTTTACAGTTATTGCCAATGCTATCAGGCCCCTACTTCCGAAATAAGTACAAAATAAACCTTTTCTAAACAAAAATTAGGGATCAGATGGAGTAGCCCCCGTTTTGTTCCATTGTCATTACTTTGCTATGACCAATGCACTGTGTCCACGCCACGGTCCTATCGTCCCACCATGTAGGCGTGACGACACAGACTACAGCGCTACACTGCGACACTCTCTGTCGGAGGTCCGGGGAACTTCCTCGGAGTGTCGAGTGACGAGCACTCTGTCGGCAACTCCGTCAGACAATCTCATCTGATCCCTTCCAACAGCTGAAGGGCCACGCGGTGTATATATGCTGAGCGCAGTCGCAAACTTTCCTGCGAGAACCAAATGTTTGGGATGTTGTTGAAGGAAATGTTTGAATACTTTTGGGGGTTCTGTTTTTAAGGATTAATTAAGGGGGATGTTAAGTTTATTATTTTGTTGGATTTACGTTTTATAAGTATTTATAAGGAATATATTTATAGTTGCAATAACATGGGTTTGTTAACTTAAAACGCAACGCGGTAGCGTAATTAAAGTTATTTTATGGAAATCAAAGATTGCTAATTGAAAAAAAGGTTTAAAATAAAGCCGTCTTGAAACATATCAAAATCTATACTTTGAACAAATTAGCTTTTAATTCAGCTGTTTGAAAAATAACTATACTTTAGAGCCTATTTACTATAAAAAATATTAATCAAAATCAATTACAGTAATATAAAAACATATTCTTACCTAAACTTTCGCAGTAGAGGTTACCTAAAGTTAACACAGTCGTCGTAATTAACACACCAAGTACGATTTTCGAGGCAGTCTGTATAAAAAAAACGTTGTTGCAAAATAATGAAAAAACATGTGACATGAAGATATATCCAGTTTCAAGGTTTCAATCAAGACAACAATAGACTTCTGGCATTAAATTAATCGTACAGGTATAAATCAGCTGTGTGATGAGTAGTAGAATAATATGTTTATGTCAACCCAACAATGCATCAGTGCATATCTGGCAATAAAATAATCGTTTAGTGTTAATTCACTACATTGAACAATAAATTATCAATTATCAATTAACTTAATTAAGATGAGTACGCCACCTAGGTGTGTATTTTAACCCAAATATGAGTGAAGGAGTGTAGAATGGTGTAAGGTCTATTGTGCTTTGTTACTGATCCTATACTCAAATACGAGCAATGTATGTTTGTTTGACTACCTGTCTGTCTGTCATTTAAATCTCTAAATCCAGCTGAAGAAATTTGACTAAATTTTGGAATTGGGGACTTATAGCCATAAAAATATGATTGGTAACTACCTCAGGAAAATTCTATTTCGCTAGACAACATGTACACAACCCGTTTGAAAATAATAAAAAGTTAGCGTCGGCCTTATGGGTTGCCAAGTAGGCTAAGTACCTATGTTGGTTGAACAAAATAAAAGAGAAAATTAAACAAACTACTTGTAACATGTTTTTATAACAAGCATCCACAGTTGTACTAACAAACTACAATACACAGCACATATAAAATAACCAACATATATGCTATTATAAAATAAATAAATTTGCCACGAGTTTAATTTGGAGTGAATAATTCCAACGAGTTCGCAAACGAGCATGATCGGACTATGGGAACAGGGGTTTATGGGGGTTTTATGGGGCAAAAATTGGTTTTTCCCATTTTTGACCCTAAAAACTTAAAATTTAGCATTTACTTTCCAAACCATTTTGTAGAGCTTAAAAAACAAATAATTTAGTATATTGAAGCGTTATTATGCGCCTAATGGTTACGGAGAAAATTCCAAAAAACTGTAAATTTAAAATGCCCCTGTTATTCTTATG